CTATGGCCCACAAAGGTATAGGCATTTAAACAATCAAAACCAAATAAGTCATTTTCAGAAAAAAGGAAAAAGAACCAGTTAGATCCCTAGGTTTACTTAGCAGCCTACCATATATGTGTTGTTTGTCAGAAACTGTTGTTATTAACCATATGCATGTAGCGAAAACTTGCAGCCAGCACCATCATCTCCAAAGGCCCCAGAACGGCTACTAATAGGCTTAATGACTGCTTGTTCTTAGCAATGTGATTAAGCACCATCTTCTTCATTTCTATTATTGCCCTTTTTCAGCACTTCATATCCTAGACTGGTATCCAGAATTTGATTTATTACATTTGCAGATTTCTAAATGCTGGATGTTACAACCATTGGCAATATTTGGAAAAAACAGATACAGTGGTGCCTCGCAAGACGAAAATAATCCGTTCCGCGAGTCTCTTCGTCTAGCGGTTTTTTCGTCTTGCGAAGCAACCCTATTAGCGGCTTAGCAGATTAGCGCTATTAGCGGTTTAGCGGCTTAGTGGCTATTAAAGGCTTAGCGGCTAAAAGGCTATTAGCAGCTTAGAAAAAGGGGGGGAAAGCGGAAAAAAATTGCAAGACTCGCAAGACATTTTCGTCCTGCAAAGCAAGCCCATAGGGAAAATCGTCTTGCGAAGCAACTCAAAAACGGAAAACCCTTTCGTCTAGCGGGTTTTTCGTCTTGCGAGGCATTCGTCTTGCAGGGCACCACTGTAATCTGATGTTTAAGATTTCAGTAGCAGTTAGCTCTTCTTTCTAAGAAGAATGACTTGGATCCAGAGATAAACCTCCTCAAACAATAAGACTTTCCTGCCTGTTATATATTGGAGTCCCCTGAAAAGAAACTCCTAAAGATCAGGGGACATTCCAAAATGGGACTAAATGTGGTGCAGGGGACTGAAACAGAAAGGATAGAATTGCCAGAAAACCCTGAAAGCACCTTTGTATAAAAGATACTGAGATTATACTCAGCATCACCACAAGCCCCAAACAATGCATTTTGCAACTCAAGATAGATTCACATAGTGCTACTTTTGTCCTCTAAATGTCCAGCTAGGTTGTACAAAAATGTATAGAATTGTTTTATCTCAATGAATGCACACGATTATATGCATGCTTCATTGGAAGTAAATACCATTGAGGTCAATGGGACTTGCTCCCAAACAAATGCACATAGATTGCAGCTTTCATGTTGCTGGAGTGTACCCCATGTTCAAAATCACCTACTTTTAAATAGCAGCAAATTTTACCCATAAACTTTTATCCAAAGGCCAGTAATTACTACTTGCTTCACAAAAGCTTACTAAATACTTACTAACCAAGAAGAACAAGATTATGCTGCTGAAAAGAAACAATATCTAACTTATTATGACAAGGTAACTTCACAGGTCAGGTTCTTTGGCGGAAACTGTTTTTACTTTAAAAGGCAGATTGCTGTATTAGGATACCATAATAAGTTCTTTGTCAATGATTAAACTGTACCACTACAGATTTTCCTGAGTCACAATTTCCAATTTTTAAAGATTTCATTTGGTTGCAAAATGTGTTAATGGCATTACTGTTTTTATGGCTGCAATATCTGGCATCAGGGTTTGCATCCCTGATGAATCAGACAATAAAAACACACAACACAAATGCATGTTTATTTTTAGTACAAATATTTACAAAAAACATGGATGGCATGCCAGAACTTAGTAGAGACATTTTCCTCTTCTCTCACAAAAGAAGGAACGCCTCTTCTAAGACTGTGCTTGCCACAACAGTGTCTAAAACATAGTCTAAAAACAAATGTTTTTTTCCTCTTCAGAAAGTGTATTGTTCATTTACCAATTTATGCAGATTGAATCTATCCATTAAAACTCACATGATCAAACAGCTATGAGGTTTTCAATTTGGGTAATGTTGTCATGCTCTTTTCTAACACAAAGACTATACCTGCACAAAGCTTGAGTCATACTTGCGTCTTTTACATTTGGATCTGTGGTAAGGCTTCCGATGAGCACTGTAATCATCTGTAATGGGATATGCTGCACAAGACTTGCCAAGGCAACTGAGGGTTCAAAATCTACAATAGACAAATACGCAAGAAAGAAGTTTTATGCTTTGCTTGTACTCTTTTTCCTACTTAATTTTGAAACACATTTCAAGAATATATTAAAGTTCTATTACAACAGATTATTCAAATTCTAAGCAACATCTTAATCCATTCAAATATGTTTTTGTAAATTAAGTCCAGCAGAAGAATTTCTTCCTTTGGTCTGTCTTAGTATTTTCTAGGATGTTAAGTGATCAAACGAGAAGGAAACTTGGATATTCCCCCACTTTCATCCCTTTGGGAGTAGTCTATCTGTATGTACCACATATCTAGCAACTTTTTGAATTCCAGAAATGTGTTGCTCATGAACAGAGCACAAACACGTGTGGGAAAGTTAACAGCCAAATAGTTAATATTCTGGAACTGAGGAAACATATGAAAAGCCTCTGTTGGATTAGGCCAGTGGTCCATCTAGTCCAGTATTTTGCTCTCAATAGCCAACCAGATGCCTACAGGAAGCATGAGAGCAGGACCTGAGCACAACAGCGCTCTCCCTGTTTAAGATTCCCCGGAAGTGGCATTCAGAGGCATATCACCTCCAACAAGGGAGGTAGAATATAAACCATTGTGGCTAGCAGCCATTAATATCCTTATCCCCTCTGAATCTGTCTAAACCTCTTTGAAAGCTCTCAAAGTTGGAGGTCATCACTACTTGTGGGAGCAGCACTTCATAGGTTAACTATGCACTATATGAAGTAATGTTTTATAAGAATGTAAGAAAGATGGTAAATTAGTTCACTCTCTAGAGCATCAGAATTTTTTTCCAGTACAAATATTTGTGATTCAAATTACTCTAATTTCTCTAGGAAAATTTCCAGAAAATTCACATCATTAGCCAGATTAAACTAATACTGAAATGTTTAAGTTAATAGTGTTATCCCCAATATCTGTTTCAGTTTCAGTTATAACTTCTTTTTTTATACTTCAGCATGCTGTAAGGTTAGCACAAGCCACTCTATGACTTCAGCAGAGTTTCAAAGTTATCTAAAAGTAACCAAACAGCTAACCAAAGACAAAGCCTTTCTCTCTGCAAGAGTTGTCAAGAAAGAGACTCAAGCTGCTCTCTGAGTTCTGTCCAAACTTGGCTAAATATTAAGCACCAAATGCACAGTGATTTTTGGCCCAAGAGGGAAGGACTACAAGGAAGATGTGGCTCCCTGATCTAATATCTAGTATGTCATGGACCCCTTGCTTTTTAAAACTTACCTACTTTGAAAAAGGTTACATAAATTTTAAGTGCTTTACTTAGTACTTTATCTACACTTCTTGCTGCCTTACACTTTGGCCCAATACAAATGTTACCTTTGAAACCCAGGAGCAATGAGCTTTTCCAGAAAAATGTGCAAACTGAACTGAAGATAAAGCCATGACTTGCTTGCATCACCACTCCTTTAACTAATGCAACCACAGAGCTTTGTTCTTGTTTACACATGTTGCCAGAGCTGCCTAGGATGACATTGGGGAGAATGCTGCTCATGTTGTACAGTGGTACCTCGGGTTAGAGATGCTTCAGGTTACAGACTCCGCTAACCCAGAAACAGTACCTCAGATTAAGAACTTTGTTTCAGGATGAGAACAGAAATCACGTGGCGGCGACGCAGCAGGCCCCATTAGCTAAAGTTTCAGGTTAAGAACGGACCTCCGGAACGAATTAAGTTCTTAACCCGAGGTTCCACTGTACAAGGAGAACATTTGGCGATGCCTGTATGGGTGACAGCACAAGCCTACTTCTTGCTCTTCCTAAGGTGATACCTCTGCAAACCCCAGAGGGGCACTGAAGCCAAGCGAAACAGCAACTCACCGGTGGAGGAGATGATGGCGAAGAGCTCCTGCAAGGAGGGCAGCAGCGTGTCGGGCTCTGCCTTCCAGATGCTGCGCAGGAGGCCGCTGACTTGGGTGACCTGGGAGACGTAGAGGCGCAGCTCGGCCTCGCGGGTGCCCTGCGTCTGGAAGTGGGCGATGCTGCGCACCAGCTGCTGGCAGAAGGCGAGCGCGGGCTTCCTGCCGCGGGGCAGGCACTGCGGGAAGTCGCTGAGGAGCTGGCAGAGGCGAGCGCACAGCGGCGCCGGCGGCCTCTCGCTCACCAGGCGCAGCGCTTCCCCTTGAAGCAGCGCGAAGAGCTCCAGCACCGCCGGGCAGCTGATGAGCAGGCGCAGCCCCACCTGGATGTAGTCCAGCACGGCCGGGTCCAGGCTAGGCCCCAGGCCGGGAGCCACGGCGGGAAGAGGCGGCGGCAGCAGCGCCGGGTCTCCCCCCTGGAGCAAGGCCAGCACCAGCCCGCGCGTGAAGAAGGCCTCGAAGTCGTCGCGGTGGTGGCGGGCGTAGGCCTCGAGCACCTGCCGCCCCACCTGGCGCTGGAACTGGTCGGGGCCCTGGAGGATGAGGCGGGTGCTGAGCGAGAACATGGCCCGGCACTCGGGCGCGCTCTGAGGCGTCTCGGCCGACTCCACCACGCGCCGCACGATCACGCGCTTCAGCGGCAGCGGGTGCGAGGAGCTCACCAGCCCCTCCAGGATCTTGTCCATGGCGAGCGCCGGCCCACCATCGGGCGACCAGGCCCCGCCGGCCCTTCTCTTCCGCCGCCCCCCTCGTCACCCCCCCGGCCGGCACCGGCGCCTCAACATCGGCCCCAGCCCGCCTTTCTCGGCAGGTTTCGAAACACCGGTACCTCAGAGGCCCCGGACGCCGGGAAGCATCTGACCCGGAAGCGACGGAGCGGCGCACAGTCACGCCAGGCAGGAAGTGGAATTACTCGGAACGCACATAAACAACCGGCGGAGCGCTCGTTTTTTCTCCGTAAGCCCTAGCAACGCGCATGCGCCCATTCCGTCGCGGAGGGCGTGCTGCGGCCCTTGCGCTGCGGCCCAATCACAGAGCTGGTGGAGGTAGAGAGGCGGGGCCGCGCGATAAAAGAGGGAGGGGCGAAACCTGAGGAGGAGGAGGAGTTGAAGGGGCGGGGCTCTGCTGGTCACCTGAAATGGTTGGTGGTCTGTCAAGCGCCTTCCCGCCTCTTCTCTAAAGCAGCTCATCGTGGAGAATTAAAGCAGGGGCTCAGGACTCAGAAACAGCTCTCTGGTGGGCTGTATGGTACTTCAGACAGCAAAGGTCTGGTCTGGTTTGTTTTGTTTTGAACGCTCTCCTATGTGCAGCATTCCTCTCAAGTGGAAAATTAGCCCAGCAGGGAGAGAGTTGGGTTTTCTACCTTAGGGGATATGGGGATTTCTACCTTAAGAAGATGAAAACTGCCCTGGATCAGACCAAACGCCTGTCAAGTCAAGCATTCTGTTCTCCACAGCAAATAAGAAAGAGATGGTTGCAATAGCCCCTCCCTCTCGTGTTCCTCAGGGGCAGCTTGTCTCAAAGGCTTCTTCCTCCATTGGAGGCTTCTTAGTGGAATGAGGAGAAAGGGGTTTTTTTTGGGGGGGGGTTGCCCTCCCCTTGAAGTCTCCTTATACCTGCCCATAATCTGTTTCAAAGCATTGAGAGACCCTTTCAGACAGTGTGAGTGGATACAGAGAGAAGGTATTTTATTATTTAAGGCATTCATATGCTTCTTACACCCCTTACAAATACTAATGATTATCACAGTATTGTTCGTTCTGACTGACTCTGACCTTGGTCTTAGGTTGGGCTCTTTCATTCCCTCGATCCACAAAGATCTATTTAGTTAGAGATGCCAGGGATTGAACTTGGGCTGTTCTATGTACAAAGGACATAACCTTATCGCTGAGCTTTGACCCCCTCCAGACCCAAAGTATTGCCTTGTTCTCGTTTTGGAATTTGTCATATAGCAGTCACTGCCATTTCTCAAATATTGAAAAGAGCAGGCAAGGAATATCTTTTATTGTAGTAATGCAGTACTTTTGTTACATGACCTGCTTTGTTTCTGGGGCAGGAAGCTTCTTTTCCAAAACTTCCCTTTATAGATGTGAGCTAGAATTTGGGTGAATTTCACCCTGTAGCTAAGCTGCATTCTTAAAGCACCCTGTTCTCCATGCTGTCTGATTTTGATCTAGAAGATTCAAATGTGCGAGAGATTGATTCTGTCCTGCATTTTGTACCATGTTAGCCTATATGGTTAAAATCTAGTACATTTGGCAGAAAATGGTGACAGATACACTTTCCCTTGCATTTCACTTCAAAGTTTTATATGTGAGCCAGCTTGGAACAAAATCACACAGAACACACTCCTCATCCAGTAGGCCCTGTATTAGATGTAAGCCAGAGTTCTCACACCACAAGTGAAACTTGTGAGGGGGAAAAGATGAAAGAATTTTGCAGGTAGGTTGCTAGGTAGTGAGCAGCTCATGATGTGAACAAATGTGGCATAAGCTGCTAAAAAAGAATGTCAGGACCTGGACAAAGAACAACACAATACTTGTTTTCTGAACAGCAACCAAGAAAATCAGTTGCGCGGTCACTTAAAAAAATGATTTGAGAGTTGCACCATTGCCTCAAGCAATTGTATCATATGTTTTTCTCATGTAACTAGTGTAGGGATGCCATGTGATAATAGTTACTTTGTAGGTGGTATTTAGAGGTTAATCATATACAAAGTACTTTGAAGGCTAGTGCTCATCACTACTAGTACAACTCAACAAAGCATGACTAATATTTGCACATGGCTTCAATTCCAACCATCATATAAATCCCTCCCATTTAATGTGCTGATTGTGCTTGTCATTAAAAATACTGGTAGTCCATGTAGCATCTTAGTTCTAAGTGTTACATATGGAGTACTTTTTTAAATCAGCCATGTACCCCACACATCAAAGTGAATTTATTCTCTTCATTGCCTCACATTTGTTCACAAAGCACAATGCTATCAGTTGTCCAAACTGTAAAACTTGCTTGCTCGGTTTCATAAACACATGATTCTTATTCAGCACTGATAATCACTGGCTTCAGTCCCGTGATTCACATGAAAATTGATATATGTCCACTTGAAAACAAAGGCTTGACAGCTCTAATTGTGGAGATCAATTGTGTGCGGTCTCTGCCTATGCAGTGAGCTCACTTGGATTTGTTCTCTGCTAAAGTTGTGAAATATAATGGAATTAGCATTGTATTTGCTGTGCACAAACATGTGTTTGAGGACAGCTATTTAAATTGGACAAAAGCACTTATCATTCACGATAGAGAAGTAGTATAGAAGATCCTCATTTTTCAGTCTCCTTAGAGGGTTTCATATGGAAAGGAAGTGACAATAACTTCACCACACCTTCTGCAGTGTTTCACCATTCTTCCCACTCTTTCAGACCCCAAATATAATCTATGTAATTTAAACCATAGACATATAGGAAGCTGTATTATACTAAGTCAGGGGTCAGCAACCTAAGGCCTATGGACCACAAGTGGCCTATGAGGGTCATTTATCTGGCCCATGGACCCTCGCCACCCGCTCGGGGACCCCTGCCGCCCACTCAGTTGGCTCCCATGTGCCATGCTAAACCGGTGCGGAGCAGAGCGGGGACTGCCTTCCGCAATGCTGGCCAGCTTCCCATTGCAGCCAATGGGAAGCTGTACATGCCTTGTCCGTGCTGGAAGGAGCACCGGAATAGCGTTTGCGCATGCACGCGCACACTCCGGCTCACTGCGGCATCTGCGGGACCTTGAACCGGCCCAAGCCACGAAAACTTTACTGACCCCTGTACTAAGTTATATCACTGATTCATCTATTTCAGTATTGTCCACTTTAGAGATGTGAAAGAAATCAGTTTTCATTTAATTTGCAAATTGAATTTGCACTTTCTGAAATGATGTGGAAATGTGGAGAACTGAACTTTTTTTTGGGGGGGGGGAATCCAAAAACTGAAATTGAAAGATTTGCCCTTCCTTAGTCCACACTGACTTCACAGTGACTTGCGAGGCTTTCAGACCCAAGTCTTCTCTATCCTTACAGAAATTTGCCAGAGATTGAGCTTGGAACTTTTGCATGGAAAGCATGTGCTCTTTGGGCCATTGGGCACATTTGGAAATCTAAGAAACTACCAATGATACCACAAAATACCAATTTTACAGAAGAATTTGTGCCAAAACCAGACACAAAGCCCTTCCAAAAGAGGCAAACCACCTACAACCTCCAAAACAAATAAAATGCAGATTTAAAAAGGCAATGGGGGGGGGACCTTTAAAAATTGGGGCCGAGACAGGAGGCCTTTGTGGGTGCTAAAAGAAATGTCTCTGGGTGCCGTAGTACCCACGAGCACTATGTAGGGGACCCCAGCTCTTACCACAAAGCAGTTACATTCTCTTAGATGGACAGGCCCTGGTCTGCCTCCAGGTGACTGAGCGACCAGTGAGAGCTGGTTGGATCATCAGCCAATCAGGAGAGAGAGAGACTGGAGTTTCAGTGAGATGCTGACAGTTTAATATCCAAACAGGAAATTTCTTTCTTGGTGGGTGACTGAGCGGGCTTCAGATAGAGACTGTTTGCCTGCCCACAGTCAGTCCATATCTGAGTGGGATTAATCAGGCAGGGTAACTCGGTTTTGATTCTCTGAGGGGAAGTTAAATCCTAGAAGGGGCTGAGTGGGTGATGCTGCTGTTTTGAACACTAATAGCCATTCTAGGTGGCAAAAATCAATTCAAGGCCTCGTTTGATCAAAAGTTTCTCAATAGAGTGTTTGCATATTTAAATATATTTTGTTCCTCACATGTGAAACCATAATATGTTAAACCCCCACAGAGTGCAATTAACGAAACATACAGTTTTGTTCCAGTAGTGGCTCTTCATACTCTGAACCTTTGGGTGGGGCAAGAGTGGACCACATAGGCAGCCTTCAAAGAAATATATTACCTTGCAGCGGTTAATCTTAAATCCTACCACAAATAGTTAATAAGAGACCTCTACTGTATAACAACAGAAAGTGTTTTATCTATGAATGCATCCCAAGTATTGGTTATGTTGCCAGCACCCAATTTCAGTGAGGGCATCTGTCATACCTTCCTCCATAATATAATTCCTTATCATTCCACAAGCTGTCAGTACATTTCACAAGCTAGGAACGTGACTTTCTAGACTACACAATGTTGGCAGTAGTACAGTTTGGATGATGATGATGATAACAATAATAATAATAAATAAATAAATAATAATAATATCTCTGCCAAGGGAAGGAAGGCTACATGCATCCACTTTATTATGTTAATAACTGAGGCTAGTGAAAATGATTTCCAGATTGCAACTGCAACATACAGTTACAGACCTTGAGTTACAGACACTTCAGTTTACAGACTCCGCTAACCCAGAAATAGTACCTCAGGTTAAGAACTTTGCTTCAGGATGAGAACAGAAATTGTGTGGCCGCGGCGGCAGCAGGAGGCCCCATTAGCTAAAGTGGTACCTCAGGTTAAGAACAGTTTCAGGTTAAGAACGGACTTCCAGAACGAATTAAGTTCTTAACCCGAGGTACCACTGTAAATGTAAAAACCTCACAGTCACCTTGAAAGCTTCTGCTGGAAGGCAGGATAGAACTATTTTAGATAAATACAAACCAGTATCCTGCCTATTAGTTGGGATAATATTTCAGAACTCCCAAGAGAGAAAAACTGGCAGTCCAAAACGGGGGTAGGGAACCTCAGGTTCAGGAGCCAAATGCCCCTGCAAACTCTCTTCCCTTCTACACCTCTTGCTGGCCTGCTCCACTTTCTCCTTGTGTGCATTTGCCTGGCTGGAATGTGCTGTTGAACGATGATCATGCATCTTACATGCATAGATGGTGACGTGCATGTAGAAACCTCAGGATTTTGCATAGATCAAATATAGCCTATTGTACAAGGCAAGAGTCGCATCTACTGTTCCACCCATTTTTTGCCTCTGGCCACAACTGATATGTGGGCCCCACAAAGTTGCCTATGAAGGGATACGGCCCTCAGGCTGAAAAATATTTTCTACCCCAGGCCCAAAGCCTTAGAAATGACAGTATCTCTCCTGACACCCAGCTGGGATGAGTCATATCCTTGGTGTGGCACAGATAGAGGTTTCACACTACAGCAGAGTTCCTGTGTGAGATGTGAGGCAGAGAGAGACTACAGCATTCTGCTTGCCATTCAGAAAGATTAGATCCTGTGTACAGTTTTGGTGGTCCAAAGGAAGGGGAAAA